TGTGTGTGTGTGTGTGTGTGTGTGTGTGTGTGTGTGTGTGAGAGAGAGAGAGAGAGAGAGAGAGAGAGAGAGAGAGAGAGAGAGAGAGAAGGTGGCGTGCAGCTTCCTTTGTGTTGTTTATTTTGTACTTTCTTTCTACTGTGATGATTTCATTTGTGGTTGGTGTTTCGCGGTCTCGAGTAGTCGGACGCTCGGTATTCGGTATATGAGGTGCGAGATGCGAACCTAGCTGCGTCGTTCCTGGCTGTTAATCTCCGATGTCTATCACCATCTCACCACCACGGTCCATGGTGTTCTAAGCTGCCTAGTTTCAAACTTAGCTGCTGAGAACCGCAGTAATGTAGATAAGAGTTCATCACGACTTTATCACCACCTCATCAGTCTTTTTTTCTGTTTTTTGCCCAGCTATCCACAATTATGTATGGCTCACTATTCGCAACCTTCTCTCTCTTATCACAGCACGTCGTTTCGAAGACGTAAGAAGGGCTTGCAGCGGTACAAACTCGTTGCTAAATTTTACTCCTTGACAGTAATCCGAGGCCGTCGCTGCGAATTTTTTCATGTCAGGATTACGAAATCTCTGCGACTTTTTCACAATCACCTAATCTCTTCGAACACCATTACCTCCTGAGATAAAAAAGAAGACCAAATCGGACCAATCTCTAGCAAACAGGGAAAAAGAACGTGTTGCCAACGAGCTTAGCTCAGGTGGTACACCCTTAAACTCTTGAAATGCAGGCGTGTGTTCGAATCCAGACGGAAGCATATGAACGAAATTCGTGAATCCCAGGAGGCGGTCAGTTTCACGATGATATCTCAAGGCTGTATCCCTTCTTTTTTAAAACTAAAAATAAAATAAAATTAAGAACGTGTTGTCGTCGGATTGACAATATAGAAATTAAGTTGCCCAACTGAAAGGAAAAATGATCTTCGGATGGCAAATACAGAAATTAAGTTGACCAACTGAAAGAAAAAAAGTGGGTTCTCTTGGTGAGCAGGTGGGGAGCACAAAAAGATAGTGGTGGGTGGGATGTATGTGAGAGCCGACCTGTGAAAGGACTTGTCATGGAGGCTTCCCTTGAGATGAGCTTGATTGTAGATGGAGGCTAACAGCAACACACCTCCGTGTGGTACACAGCCGAGAATAACAGTGCCGCCTTCTCCCGAATAGGACGTACTACGGTCGTTTTCGCTGTATCTAGACGGAAATTTGGCTCAAATACCGCTACAATAATCTATCGGGGGAAGACGGAAGTGTGAAAGTCGAAGATCCAAATGTGTAGCAGAAGAGGAAAATACGCTCTGTGGCGGTGCGCCAGGGGTTGTCTGACACGTGTTCTGACACGGGCTGACAGGCGAAGTCGGAAGACTACAAATTCGTGTTGTCTGGCACGAGTGTAGGGTAGGAACAGGTGACTACGTTCGTCTCTGCAACTGCCTGTCCCTGCAGTTGTTGATGGATGAGCGATCGAGTTCGTGTCCCTTTTGGCGTTTTTAATCTTTTTTTGCTTTTTCGTGCTTCTGTATTTCTGTGCCCATTCTACTTTTCAATTTTAAAAGTATGGTGTTGTTTTTTCTGGCTGTATCCTTCTTTGTGGTAATAGTACTTAACGTGCGTTTGCAGAGCAATTGGCCATTGTTTGTCACTTCTTCTTTCTTCTTCTTCTTCTATAGTTACTTTTTGCTGCTGCTCCTTTGTACATTCAGTTAATTTATCGAATGAAGGATGTTGTAATTGCGTCTCCCCCCCTCCCCTCCCCTTCTTTGAGTCGGATGTCTTCAGATTCTGAAATTTGAAGAGTGTAGTCGAGACTATAACCCCTTTTAATCAATATACTAGTAATCGTTTGTGAACTGGTTGGAGTTGTAGAGCGAGGGCCGACGTCAGCAGATACTGAAATCAGCAGTTCTGCACATCGCAAGGGCAACATGCCAAAATGTGTAATTCAGAATCGAAAAACTCTTCGAAGGAAAAACATGGAAACACCAAGAGTCTTCATAGCTATGCTAACTCTTCAGAAGAAAGGAGCTCGGAACCAAGAGCTAGCTATGGCTACAACCAACAGTTTGACAAGAAAGCGAAAAAAAAACAGCAAGCAGACAAAAGCAGACCAAGAACTTTTCAAGAATATGGACTAATAGGGACATCAGGAAACTGACCAGAGAAAGCAACGAAGAACCGGGCCAAAAACATCAGGAAACTGACCAAAGAAAGTAACAATGAACCAGGCCAAAGAAACAGGCCGAAGAAGAAAATGACGGAACTGAAAACAAAAAGACCCAAGAAATACAAACACGAGCAGATTATAGAAACAGGCAAAAAATTGGGCTATGAGCTAGGCTGCCAGCTGGGCTGCCCGAGTCACCTTGTTTGCCTGGGCGGCCCCGCCGTGCGAGTACCAAAGCAGGTCCCAGCGAAAGGGAAAAAAATCCAATAATCTGGGGAAAAAAAGTTATGCAGAAAAATAAGCTGAACAACTTTTGCCTGAGGGTCACGTCGAAATTCTTTACCAAATTCAAAATAAAACATGAAATTAAAAACCATTTTTTAATTTTTTATTATTATTATTATTTTTTGTTTGGCCCGGCCGGGCCAGTGGTCCCGGACCACTCTGGTACCCTAGGCTATCAGTGGGTTTTGTTTTTTGTTTTTTGATTAACTCGAACTTCAGAATTCCTTTTCAAACAGAACTTTGAGGCCGGGGATCCTCAACATTACTCCCGATTGGTGTCTGAAAGCATCATCCAGCTTAGCTTACAGGCGTTTGCCTGCGAGTCATCCTTTGACACTCCACAGCTCGAAGGTTGCTGCTTAACAGCGGTTCAAATTACGTGCACGAAAGACAAATGCAAGGAATATGAGTGGGAATGATATACAGAAAACCAAGTTGCGAAATCACACAGATGTCCAAGTAGTCGTGTACAAACAGAGAGCACAAATGCACCGAGATCCCATCCAAATAAGAGCAATACAATGAAGTAATGACCCAATGTTCAAACCCTCAGGCCACGCCAACACAGTATCCAAAGTCGCTCCTCTCTGTCTGGTGCCCAGCGTCCAGCCTACACTACCTGACTATCCTACCTACATCAGCATTCTCGCAACAGGCTCAATTCGACTCTTGAAGACCAATGTACATGATGTCAACACCATAGCCGACCTCTTCCATGTACCAGGTACGTATCTTGCTTCCCCTCATCAGACCCTGTGCACCCACACTCTCCTCCTTCCCGAAGACCACCGATTGCCCTCTTACCCCTTAGCGCCCTGCAGCCGGGCTAGGGCTGCTTGCGCTTCACTGCCCAGCAGCGCCCCTCTTCACCTCTCACGTGCCCGCACACACTCTGGCCTCAGTGCAACACGCAGCCTTTAACGCAGCAGCGCAGCGGCGTGACGACATTGCCTGCGTGGGCCAGAATGCCAGACCCTGGCTGCCCTCCTTCCTATATGGAAGTGGCAGCCTTTGCTTGGCTGCGTGTGGCCTGGCTGGAAGCTTCCAGTAGCTTCTGGTTGGGCCCCAGTACCTGCACCCAGGCCCAGTGCTACAGTTGAGGGCCTGGGCCCCTTTACAGTTGGGCAGCCGCGTTGGCGGAGATTTCACAACGCCGTCCGAGTCTCCAGACTTGGT